AAAACTCCCAAAGCAAGCAACATTTTCGTAAGTTGGACTCAGTTCTGCAAAGATGTATGCAGGAAGGGTCCCACCAACTTCCGCTGAACAACACCAAAAGGAGTCGGTTTGCAGCCCTCAGCTGCAGAGAACCACATCTGAAAGACATTTATTCCTCCTACCAGGGTCCCCTGAACCACGGTTTTGGTTCAGATACTAGCATGAAAGGAGGCACGTTTCTTCTGAAATCAGTATTGCTTCCTACCTCAGTTTGGCTTCCGGGAGATCCCATGTGCAAATATTGGCAATTTTGTGCTATCTGACTTGTGAAGTTAAAGCCAATCAGGCCTTCTGTAGCCAATGGCTATCGTTACATGCGATCATATTTTGGAGGCTCCAGAAGCTGATATGTCATGATCTGGATGTGTTACTTTATGACGTCTGGCCTACCTACAGTCAGTGCGGACTGTTGCCTTCGGGTTGCTGTTCTTAGCAAGACTCAGACATTTTAAGCCTTTCGGAGCCTGGGAATCTTTCTCATCGTGCAAGGAGAAGCCCGAGGAACTCTCTTGGAGACGTTGCCTTTCCAACGACAATAATTTACTTTCATGAAGCTATTCCTATGGATCAGAGAGCGGAGGGGTGGGGGTAAGGAAAGGTGAAAGCAGACTTCAGTCTGGCAACGGAAAAAGCCACTCATCTGCCTGCAGCCCTGCAGAGAGACAGCTAACGCTCTCAGCTGAATTCACACACGGCGAAGCACACCCTTCAGCAGCTTGAGTCAGACCGGAAAAAAAAAAACAACCAAACAACCAAACAAGGCATTACTCAACACATTTCTTTGCCCTGTTTGGGAAAAAAACATGTCACTTCCCTCCTAGATATCCCTGGCATATGTTAAAACAAGTATTCCACAAGCAGTGGCAACAGCAAAGCTTGGTTTCCAGAGGATGCGGCTCAGCTCGACCGATGTTTCAAGGGAGTGGTGTGGTGTAAAAGGGAAGGGGCTCAGGCGGAGGGGGATCTTCAGTGGCCGGGACGGCAGGAGGGCCAGCCGGATTGCTGGT